AAGAGCGCGGAGACGCCGCGGCGCGTGCGCGACGGGGCAGGAAAAGAGTGCGAAATTCCCAACTTTTTGGACGAGCGATCATCGCTCGGAACGGTCTCGAAGCGTGGATGCTTTTTCCGGAACGCGCGCGAGCGGAACACTCACGTTGAAGCGAACTTGAATCACTCTTTTCCTGCCCAGGTCCGCGACGTCGTCAACGCGGTGCACCGGTCGCGGCGGAGCGACGCGGCGACGCTGCCGCTCGACGACGCCTACTTCCGGCGCAAGGCGGCGGTCGTCGACGCGGAGCAGAAGGCGCTGCGCCTGCTGGGCTTCGACCTCGAGACGCCGACGTGCCACCGGCTCGCTTTGACGTTCGCGCACGCGGCGCGGTGCTCGACGCGCGCCGCGCGCATCGCCGCGGCCCTCGCCAACGACGCCCTCCTCGACGAGACGTGCCGCGGCCTGCCGGCGGCGGCCGTCGCCGCCGCGGCCGTCGACGTCGCGCTCGCCGCGGACGACCAGCCGGCGCCGTCGCGGTGCGCGGCGCGCTTCGGCGTCGCCGACCGCGACGTCGGCGCCGCGCGGACCGCGCTCGTCGCGGGGCTCGAGCGGGCGCTGGCGGAGCCCCCCGCGCGATAGTAACTCCGGGGGGCCGCGATAGGACCAACAACCACTAGGCCGCGCGCAGCAGCGCGCCGTGGCCGACGCGGTCGCCGGCGACGGCGGTCGCGGCCGGCGCCGGAAAGGCCGCGCCGAGGCGCAGCGCCGGCGGCGCGCCCCCGCCGAAGGCGACGACGGCGTCGGCGAGCTGGACGTAGACCGCGTCGACGGTCGCGGCGACGGCCGTCGCCCGGCCGCCCGCGTCGAGCGCCGTCGGCCGCCGGCTCCGGACGGGCTGGAACGCGCCGAGGGCCCTGACGGACCCGTCGCGGCCGAGGAAGACGGTCCCGTGGCCGCGCGCGGCGGCCGCGACGACGCCGTCCGCGCCGTCGACGTAGTCCGGCGCGTCGAAGTCGAGGTGGCCCTGGCGCGAGACGCCGAGCTGGCCGTGGTTGTTCGCCCCGAAGCCCAGGAGGCCGCCCGACGCCGTCACGAGCACGGTGTGGAGGCCGCCCGCGGCCGCGGCGACGACCTTGGCGCCCTCGGGCAGCGCGAGCGCCGCGGGCCGCCCCTCGGCGCGGGAGACGTCGTCGACGAGCCAGGGCCCGTCGACGCGGCGCGACAGCGGGAAGACGCGGTCCGCCTTGTGGCCCGTCAGCGGCCGGCCCAGGACGCCGTGGCCGTCGTCGACGCCCCACGTGAGCACGCCGCCGTCGACGTCCAAAGCCACGGCGTGGCGCTCGCCCGCGGCCAGGGCCACGACGCGGCCGAGGTCCGGCACCTTGGTGGGCCGGAGCACGTCTCTGCCCGGCGGGCCGCCGAGGCCCAGCGTCCGCCGGCCGCGGCCCCACGTGTAGACGGACCGATCCGCCTGGGCAGCAAAAGGGTGATTCAACGTCGCTTCAACGTGAGTGTTCCGCGCGCGCGCGTTCCTAAATAAGCATCTACGCTTCGAGACCGTTCCGAGAGATGATCGCTCGTCCAAAAATCAGCCGAAACGAGTAGAAAACGGCCGAGATATGAGCCTTTGAAGTTGGGCATTTCGCTCTCTTGTGCTGCCCTGCTATCCGCGGCGACGAGGCCGGCCCAGTCGCTCGACGCCGCGAGCTGCGTCGCGAGGACGCCCTTGAGGTCGAGGGGCACGAGGTCGTCGCGGTCGTCCGTGTCGCCGACGCCGAGCTGGCCGTGGCCGTTCTCTCCCGTCGCGTAGCACCGGCCCGCGACGTCGAGCAGGAGCACGAAGCTCCGGCTGAAGGCGCCGCCCTGGTCCCGGCCGCCGCAGGCGACGGCCGCGACGCGCACGGGGCACGCGAGCGGCGCCCAGGTCGCCGCGCGGAAGCCGCAGCGCTCGCCGATCCAGCGGCAGGCGCCGCCGGCGACGAGGCACGCGTGGTTCGCGCAGGCGTCGAGCCGCCTGCGGTCGACGGCGCCGACGTAGGTGAGCCAGTCCACGGTCGACCGGCGCCAGTCCGACGGCGGCTC